AGGTCTCCTCACACTGCTGGTGGGTTCCATTTTGTCATAGGGTGCTGGCAGATTACGGGCCTCCCATTGCTGCTGCCAGGCCCGTAATCTGCCATGGGCCCCCGTACCGACTCCTCATGCTGCTGCCAGGCCCGTAATCTGTCATGGGCCCCTGTACCGCCTCCTCATGCTGCTGCCAGGTCCAGAGTGTCTCATGGGTCCCTGTACGGCCTCCCATTGCTGCTGTCTCCATCGCCACACTCTGCCATGTGCCACTTTCAGGTCTCCTCACACTGCTGGTGGGTTCCATTTTGTCATAGGGTGCTGTATGGCCTCCCATTGCTGCTGCCTCCACCGCCACACTAGGGCTCCACACTCTGGTTTTGGCCCCGTGACTGCCCAAATGAGTGAAGTGTGCGGTGATTCTAAGATCGACGGCACTCATCTGCATGTCATACTGACTGACAGTATTATTTCTCTTCCCCAGCAGACTCCAAGGGCATTTAAATTAAAGGTACAGTGTTCTGCACACTAATATAAAGGCTCTCTGAAGCCTAGAAACACCCTTTTTATAAGTTAAATTCGCAGCAAATATATTCGCCTCGAATCAAATTTATTCCTCGAATTCGCCGAATCAGCCGAATTGAATTTTTGAATACTTCGCTCATCTCTAGTCATAACTCCAAAAAATGGCCTGGTCAGGAAGGGGGGTAAATCCTCTGGAGGGCAAGTGGTTAACATTGCACTGAAGTGCAGGAGTTTCGTTATTGTTTGTGCCTTATAGTGAATGCAGGGTCCTGGCAGGGGCGGACGGGGACCATTTGGAAACTTGGGCACTGCTCAAGGGCCCGGGGTCAGTAGGGGGCCCCATGAGATGCCCCTGGTACCTTTTTCATAGGCTTTTTTGAGTTTGGGCAAGGACACAGGGGCCCCATGATCCCCTATTGCCCGGGGGCCCCATGAGTTGTCTGTCTGCCCCAGGTCCTGGGTTTAGTAACACTTTAAATAATTACTCTTCCCTTGCAAAGGATACCTTGTGTTATTTTGTAACATGCTGATCGTACATGAAGTGAAAAAAGTATGCAAATCCTAAGGACTGTTCTATGGGAACAAGCATCTGCCTTAAACTAGCATTCAATTCCTGCTAAACAAAATGCAAATCTTCTATTCAAATAGAAAGCTTATTTGCAAGATGCCCAAGAAAAACAATTTAGTATTTACTTAACATCAAAGAAGCCAGACCCACTGAGCAAATTATGAGTTTTTGTTTCCAAATTCAGTAATAAATGGTCATAATAATCAAGTCAAGTTAAAACATAAAATGTTTGCATTTCAAATTGTTCCAGGGATACAGCCTAACCTATAAATGGCTGTAATTTTAATTCCTTCATGTTTTTTTGTCTTGCTGATCAGTAGCTACAGTTTTACAGTTACCCACTTCATACTTGACTATCAAATCTGAAGTATGAGCAGGGGTGTATTTAACACAAGACAAACAAGGCATTTGCTTAGGGCGGCATTTTTCAGGGGGGCAGCAGTGCCCCCCCAGAAGAAGGGACACATGTGGCATGGGGACCAGGTGAGATCCGAGGTTGCAGGCTGCTTGACGGTGTATGGAGAGCCCGACTCTTGTTCCGGGGGATGTCCACAGCTGTGAAGGTGAGTGCCTTTCTCTCTCTCACTGGGAGGGGGTATTAGTGGAAGGCTCTCTCAGGGGGGTGGGCAGGGGTGTTGTTGGTCAATGTTAGGCTCTTTCTCTGTGGGGAGCCCCGGATCTTTGGTTTGCCTAGGGCAGCCCCCCGGCACCAAACCTAAACACATCACTGAGCATGAGAGGAAAATAGGAAAACAAAGAATCATGTGAAAAGAAGCTACAGTCTTGCCGAGAAGCCCTGTGAGAGGCATGCTAATTCTGTCTGCACTGGACTATATACAATTTAGATTAAAGTATGTTCAATGGACAGATGCTTACAGGTCTCTATAATTATACACAGAGCTGGTAACATTGTTTACCTACATTGTCGTATTTGGATAATGCCATTGACCAGAAATGGCCATGTGGCCATGTTAGGTCAATGACATCACCAGCATCTTTGTGGCTGCAGGGCAGAACATTCCATGGTGTGGAAAGAGATGGGACACCAGCCTACTGTATATGACAGTTTTCCGTAGGAACCCAGTTCAGTCCAAACTGACCTTATTTTATTCTTAGCAGTGACTGTAAAATCGGTTGCATTTCTGAAAAAGTGTATGATGGAAGGCATGTGGCTTCATGGTTTCTTCAACATTATTTTTTGTTGACCCAACAATTCTCTGTCGCATAGGAAACCTAGGCCTTTACCTGTTATTTACAATATTATATGTGCACTGGGCCTGTTTTCGGTGGGAATCCTTGCAACCTATTCGCTGCTACTTTTCCTTCCTGTTATGCCAAAAGGAAGTCGCAGAAATAGATATGACGTCAGTCAGGCTTTGTACCAACAACCTTCACCTTTTTAGTTACTACAGTTGTACATGGAGTCACAATATGACTTTTTGCAGTTTATTAGGCACCAGAATTAGATGTAGTACACTCAGTAATCAGCACTCAGAAAGAGGATTGGTCAGACTCATTGGGGTTTATTTACTAAAGCTGGAGAGGGCAAAATCAGGCTCACATCTGCATGGAAACCAATCAGCTTCTAACTTCAGCTTGCTCAATTAAGCTTTGGCAATAAAACCTGGAAGCTGATTGGTTTCTATGCAGAAGTGAGCCTGATTTTGCACTCTCCAGCTTTAGTAAATAAACCCCATTCTGTCCACTTCTTTGCAACTTAAGACTGTGTGAGGACACCTGTGCTGGGGGGTGTGGCTATTACTCAGCTATGCTATCATAGTACACTGCAGTGTGAGGGATAGAAGCAGCACAATGTATTTTTACAATCTTTCCTGGTAAAAAAAAAATCAGTTCCAAATCATAATATATGGAGGTACGGGACTATAAAGAAATACAACAGTGTGAGATTTCATTTGGTTATTAAAACATAATATATATACAATAAGTGAGAAAAATGGTGCTGCGCTACTATGGGTGAACCTAATTAAATAATATATATATATATACAAATAATTCAAATAGCAATATAAAAGTGACATATAAAAAGTGACAACAAAGAATGAACTGGACCAATAGGTGAATGCAAAAAAAAATGTATAAATGAATGGCAAAAGAAATGGACACAAATTATTTCCCAAAAAGTCCCAAAAATAATAACAGTCCCAAAACACAAACAGTGTGTGAATCTTCCACACAAAGAAACGTGTAGAATGCAGTGACCAAACAAAAGAGGGGCAATCCATCACCGCCTAGCATGTGTGCTCACCTTCAAACTGCGACCCTCAGGTGTGCTCAAAAGTTTGCATACCCTGGCAGAGATTGTAAAACTTTGGCATTTATGTTGAAAATATAACTGATTATGCAAAAAACTGTCTTTTATTTAAGGATAGTGATCATATGAAGGTAACCTCAGGAGAAATGCAGGCTGCTCTGGAAAAAGATGGTGTGTTTTTTCTAAGGAGAACAATACAACAATACTTGACCAAAAATGAGCTGCATTGTCGAGCTGCCAGAAAGAAGCCTTTACTGAGCCAATGTCACAAAAAAGCCTGATTACAATATGCCAGACAACACCTTGACACGCCTCACCAGACTTTTTTGTGGCATTGGCGCAGTAACGGTTTCTTTCTGGCAATTCGACCATGCAGCTCATTTGCTTCACATGATCATTATCTTTAAATAAAAGACAGTTTTATGGCATGATCAGTCATATTTTCAATATAAAGACAAGATGTCATGATTTCTACCAGGGTATGCAAACTTATGAGCACAACTGTACAAATATATGCATTTAGGCATCTAGACGTGGTGAAGACACCTTGCTGAAGTTCAAACGAGCATCAGAATGAGGATTTAAGTAATTTTGAAAGTGGCATGGTTGTTGGTGCCAGACGGACTGGTCTAAGTATTTCAAAGACTGCTGATCTACTGGGATTTTCACGCACAACCATTTTCATGCACAACAGAGAATGGTCCGAAAAAGAGAAAATATCCAGTGAGCAGCAGTTGTGTGGACGGAAATACCTTTTTGATGTCAGAGATCAGAGGGGAATGGGCAGACTGGTTCAAGATGATAGAGAGGCAACAGTAACTCATGTCAATATGGACAAAAATCTAAAAGGAATGTTTCCAACATCTTGTTGAATTTGCCATGAAGAATTAAGGCAGTTTTGAAGGCAAAGGGGGATCCAACCTGGTACTAGACAGGTGTACCTAATACATTGGCTAGTGAGTGTGTATATATTATATATATATATATATATATATATACACACACACACACACACACATTATATTGCCAAAAGTATTGGGACGCCTGCCTTTACACGCACATGAACTTTAATGGCCAAGTCTTTGTCTGTAGGGTTCAGTATTGAGTTGGCCCACCCTTTGCAGCTATAACAGCTTCAACTCTACTGGGAAGGATGTCCACAAGGTTTAGGACTGTGTCTATGGGAATGTTTGACTATTCTTCCAGAAGCACATTTATGAGGTCAGGCACTGATGAGAAGGCCTGGCTCACAGTCTCCATTCTAATTCATCCCAAAGGAGTTCTATCAACTTGAGGTAAGGACTTTGTGCAGGCCAGTCAAGTTCCTCCACCCCAAACTCACTCATCCATGAACCTTGCTTTGTGCACTGGTGCGCAGTCATGTTGGAACAGGAAGGGGCCATCCCCAAACTGTTCCCACAAAGTTGGGAGCATGAAATTCTCCAAAATGTCTTGGTATGCTAACACCTTAAGAGTTTTCTTCACTGGAACTAAGGGGCCAAGCCCAACCCCTGAAAAGCAACCCCACACCATATTCCCCCCTCCACCAAACTTTATACTTGGCACAATGCAGTCAGGCAAGTACCAAAGCCAGAAAAGTCCATCGGATTGCCAGACAGAGAAGCGTGATTCATCACTCCAGAGAACATGTCTCCACTGCTCTAGAGTCCAGTGGCGGTATGCTTTACACCACTGCATCCAGTGCTTTGCATTGCACTTGGTTATGTAAGGCTTGGATGCAGCTGCTTGGCCATGGAAACCCATTCCATGTAGCTCTCTATGCACTGTTGTTGTGCTAATCTGAAAGCCACATGAAGTTTGGAGGTCTTTAGCTATTGACTCTGCATTCAGTTGGTAACTTATGCACTGACCCCGCTCTGTCATTTTACGTGGCCTACCACTTTGTGGCTGAGTTGCTGTTATTTCCAGTTGCTCCACTTTGTTATAATACTGCTAACAATTGACCGTGGAATATTTAGTAGCAAGGAAATGTCACAGATGGACATATTGCTCAGGTGGCAACTTATCACAGTACCACACTTGAATTCACTGAGCTCCTGAGAGCGACCCATTCTTTCACAAATGTTTGTAGAAGCAGTCTGCATGCCTAGGTGCTTGATTTTATACACCTGTGGTCATGGAGGTGATTGGAACACCTGAATCCAATGATTTGTAGGGGTGTACCAATACTTTTGGCAAGTGTGTATATATATATACAGTATATACTGTATATATATATATATATATATATATATATATATATATATATATATATATATATATATATATATATATATATATATATATATATATGTATATGTCATTTTGATACCTACATTGACACAGAGATGGAATGACATTCTAACCCCATTTTTTATTAGAGTTTTAGACACAACCTGAACTAATAAGAAAGAAAGGAGTAGGCACCTTCATTTCAAATAGTGAATTTTCATTGGCTAACTTCCAGTCATGAGGCGTCAGTCTGGGGGCACAACTGTGTTTAGCTTGTACAAGGTAATTATTTCATTTGTCCAAGGACAAGAGATAACAAAAGGGAACAAGGCAGGGACACCTGCTTTGCACCTTAATTAGTAGTATTATTCTGCAAAAGCACTTAAGTGATATGAACAATGTCTTGACTTGAAGGACAACTGTACCTTTAGTTCTTAAATTAAACCCCCCTGTAATAGGGAGGAAGCAATTCCAGTGATCTTCATTATGCAGGACCACTTGAGGCCATATTGCCTGTGCAAGGAAATATTGCAGCAATCTCCTTTTTTTTTCTTTAGCAGCACCCCATTAATTTCTATGGATAAGCTATACTTATGCTGTCCAGTCAATACGTATCAATAGGGCAGTGGTGTACAGGCACGGTAGGAAGAGAAACTGGCCGGGACTTTTTTTTGCAAAGGCTGTGCAGCACCAGGCAGGACTACACAGTGAAGATAGCTGAAATGACGAGAGGAGGTTTTTGCAAGAAGACTGGACTCAGGGGGATGAAGGGTTTAATAACTGTACTATGAGTATGGCTGTACTTTAAACTTTCAAAAATTAATTCTTTAATCAACATTACAGTGAAAACAATTAATGACATAAAGTATAATGCATTTTATTATTATGGATAGACAGAGTGAATATAATAAAACATTATGCATATTAACAACTTGCCTACTGGGCACTTTCACCCCCTTCCTTCCCAGGCAAATTTTCAGCACTATTGCACTTTGAATTACAATTGCGCGGTCATGCAACACTTTGCCCAAACTGAATTTGTATAATTTTTTGGGACATATAGAGCTTTCCTTTAGTGGTATGTATTTATTTTTTGCTAACCAAATGAAAAAAGACCAAAATTGATAGGCTGCACTGATGGGCACTGATGAGGAGGCACTGAAGAGGCTGCACCGATATGCGGCACTTATGGGCACTGATAGATGGCACTGGTGGGCATTGACAGGCGGCACTGATGGGCATTGATCGGTGGCACTGATGGTTACTGATAACCATCACTGATGGGCACTGATAGACAGCACTGATGGGGCTACACTGATCATCAAGGCACTGATGATCATTGCCCTGATGATCAGTGTAGATGTCCCCTCTGAGAAATGCCACTTACCGGCTCTCCTCTACTCACACACTGTCAGCATGAGGAGAGGGCTGCCGATAACTGGCATTTCCTATTTACACAGCTGCTCACATGGTAAAAAAAAAGCAGCTCTGATTGGCCCTTCACCTGGATACGTGATCAGTTTTGACCGAAGGACACAGTGATCACAGCTTGAGCACAGTGCACACCCCAGGGGGCACCTGTGGAGGTTGTGGTTCTGGGAGGACGTCCATGGATGCCCTCCCAAAACTAGCCGACCACGCTGTAGCCATTTTTTGGCTATAGCGAGGTTGGGAACTGGTTAAAAATAGCGGATACAATTTTCTGGGAGGGTTGTGCTATAGTTAGTTAAAGGTAACGTACAATGTTTCCTGCATTTATGTGGGTAGGGCAGGCTACTGGATTGAATAGTTTGTCCTATATGCAGCCACACAGATGTGAACCAAGGGCTTGTTTTTACCACCCCAAGTGTTCCCCCTTTAGCTGCAGAGGCAGCAACTGGGGGTGTGCGCATGTTGTGGCCAAATCTGGAAGTATACACCCCCCCCCCCGGGTAACTAGGGTTGCACTGCAACTACCCTGCAACTGTGTGGATTGCATGTGGTTGCGGTGTGGTGATGCTGCATTTTTGGCCTCCTTACTGCCTGTCAAATGCCTCTGAAAAGCAATCTGAGCATGGGTTGCTTTTAAGAGGAGCAGCAGTCCTTTTTGCTATTACCAACAAGCCCTAGAAAAAGTAGTTCTGACAGTACATGAATAGGGGGTCAAGATGAAAAGTAACATAAACACACACATACAAACAAACAAACAAACAAACACATAAATACAAAAAAAATGTACATACACACACATGTACTGTATATGCACACATACATACAGACACATGTGCATACACATACAGACTAATGTGTACACACACACACACATACAGACAGAGACATGTACACACACGCATACACACATACAGACGCATGTACACACACACATACAGACACATGTACACACACATATGCAGACACATGTACACACACACATATAGATGCATGTACATACACACATACATACACATGCACACACACATATGCAGACCGATGTACACACACACATATAGATGCATGTACAGTCACACATACATACACATGCACACACACATATGCAGACACATGTACACACAAACACACACATAAAAACAGACACATGTACACACACACAGAGACATGTAAACACAGACACTTTACACACAGACATGTGTACACACACACAGACACATGTACACACAAACATACAGACACATGTGCACACACACATGTACAGACACATAAAACACACACCCACGTTGAGAAAGGCTGATCTAGGAAATATCTGATTGCTTTCTAGGGGGTCAGGAAGGAATTCATTTTTCCACCACTGGAGCAAATTGGACCATACTTTATTGTTTGGGAGGGGGGTTGCCTTCTTCTGGATCAACTCTAGTTATAGGTTTCCTATTTATTCTATCTATGTCGTTTTTTCTATTGGTTGAACTAGATGGACTTTTTTTTCAACCTGACTAACCATGTAACTATGTAATCCATGTCCTTCAAACCACATATTTGTAACACGCTTCTCACCAGCACCACTTAAGCCAACCTGATACTTGTAAAGTAACATCACACCTCCAGAGATCCCAGTACATGTCCACCTCATGTTGAGACAAGAGTAACGCAATTTTCAGGCCTCTTTGTTCTCTTGCCTTATGTTCAGCTTGTAAAACACCACAACAAGGATTTGCTATGTAAACTTTGCACAGGCATACACAGATCATTATTTACAACACAAGGGGACGTGAAATAATAAGTTCAGCCGTCCAGACAATGAACAAGGCTTCAGAATGCGCAGATTGGTGATACAGCTGCATGGGATTCTGTTGACTTGCTTGTCTAAGGTATTCAATACAGAAAAATCCACTTACAAAGACATCTACCACAGATAATTGGGGTTGCAAACAGACCATTGTCCCAAAGAGGTAATGTGATCCTCATAAAAAGACTGGTATTTATAATCTTTGAAGTATGAAATTAAATATAGTATTTCACTTTCTTTCCTAAGCTGTTTAAAGCTTGGTAATTTTCAGCAATTATTTTTTAGAACATAATTATTTCTTTGTTTTTGCAATAATAACTGTTGTAAAAGATTTAGGATGTTAACATTTTAATATTCACGTTCGCTATCATAGCATGATAAATAATGATTAGAACCTGCATGATTATAAACAACATTGCTATTGCACTTTTAGTAGTAATTGGTATTACAGTAACACTATAGGTAGAAAATGGTCTTATCAGCTCTACAATTGCCTACATTATTTTCAACAATTCAACAGTAATATATATATATATATATATATATATATATATATATACCTCCAAACCTCCATCTCCAGTGATCCTGCGCACACCGCCATTCTAACAGCCAGCAATTTATCCCCGCCCGACACATTAAGTTGTCAGCCAAGAATTTCTGACTGACAGATGAATGTAAACAAATGGTGTGGTTACTGTATAAAAGCAGTGGGGTGTGGTCCCCACAAACCTTATACCTGGTCCTTTGGATCTGATATTGATTTGGGGAGGGGCACCCCTCACAAAAAAAAAAGAAAAAAGTATGCCTCCCCCCCCAAATCCAAACCAGACCTGTATCTGAGCATGTAGTCTGGCTGGCCCTGTTGAACCATAAAAGGCCACCTGACTACAACATGGGGGGGGGGAATGTTACCAGGAGAAACCTCTTGGCAAATCACCTTGTACTCCTGTTGGCCTCTTTCCCACTACACTGGTTGGGGGGGGGGGGTCTATGAGCGGGGAATATTGGAATCTGGAAGTCCCTTTAAAAAAGGGTGCCCCAAATACCTAGGTGTGCATATATGTGTACATGTGAGCAGGGGCAGACTGACCATTCGAGCACTCAGGCACTGCCCGAGGGCTCAGGGTCAGTAGGGGGCCCCATGAAATGCCCCTGGTACCTTTTATAGGCTTTTTTTGAGTTTGGGCAAGGACACAGGGGCCCCATGATCCCCTATTGCCCAGGGGCCCTATGAGTTGTCAGTCCGCTCCTGCATGTGAGTATGGAGAAGGGCAATTTTTTTTTCAAATTTAACTTAATTCTTTTCTCTTTTTCTTGCATTTAAGTTTATTACTATCACTAGAGTGCTGATAGGTCCTATATGAGATATACCTCAGTGTGACGAGTTCTTTTTATGGAGACATCAAAGGTTTATTAGACCCCAGATATCTTCCCTGCACTGCTTCAGTACAAATCGAGTACAAACAGTACCTGATTTGCTACTTTCTTTTTTTTTTCTTTTTTAAACTTCATCTCTTTATTAGTTTTTTTTAAATGAAATATGACAGAAATACAGTTGTGACCAAAATTATTCAACCCCCAATGCTGTAAAGGGGTTTAGGGACTATAGTGTACATTTGGAATTGTATTCAGAATCAAATCCTACAAGGACGT